TCAAAATACAATTTCAAAAGTAATAAGCTTGTGAAAAAAATTCAAAAATTAGGTGGTCATATTTTGTGATATTTGATAAAATTTTGTGACCTATAATTAATTAAACAGATCGGTATCATAATAACACACAACTTTTAATCATGGTCACTTTAGTCACAAATGACATAAGGTCATAGTCACAAATGACACGTGATTTATTAGTCACAATCATATATTTAGTTGCAAATCACACATTTAATAGGTTTTAAATTATTTATTAATCACAAATTACATAATTAACTGATCACATACACTAATTTTATTAATTCAATTATCACAATCATATATTAAATCAAATTGTTCACCCAGATCCTCCACCGGTTATATTCGCCGCTAATAAACTCTCCTCCTCCCCAATATACTCGCTATCTCCTCCACTAGTTACTCTCCTCCTCCGATATATTTGGTCGGTGTTACTGCAACCACAATAAGCTTTTTGTTGTCGTAGCACTGTTCGAACATGATCGGGTTTCCTTGGGACGTTCATCTTAATTCAATTATTTAAATGAAGAGATGTATCTTTGGGAAGGGTTGTAACAATAATCTATAATAGATTGATAGAACATTTACAAAATTTGAGAATGAGAAGTGACATCAGAATTCTCATATTCTGTTTATCACAAAAAAAAAAAGTCCAAAAAATATTTACGTATTCCACTAGTTTACATTTCAAATCCATTTAATTTTTAATAAGCACGTAACTTTTTAACAAGTTCAATAGCCCATGTTTTTCCACCCTTCCTTACAAGGATGCTAGAAGTGTGTATAGATTCTGTTATATCTGATCAAATACAAAAATTGAAAACAAATCACAATGGATTACATAACATAATCAAAGACCCACACAATTCGTGAAGGTATATAATACATGGTATTTTAAATATCTTTGGAGAATTTTTCATTTTAAAAAAATGAGAGCACTTCAAGAAATAACACCACTAGTTAAATGCCACTTAATAAATATTTTTGATTTTACCCAAAAAAAAAATAAAAAATAATCAAGTTAAAAAATATTTTTAATGTTTCTTACAAATTTATTTTTAAGCATTAAATACAAAAAAAAAAAAACTATCCAAAAATTAATTTAATTATATTGAAAATCAAGAATAATTCAAGGACCAAATTAAAATTTTTTTTTAGAATTGCAATCGGGGTCACGCACATGCCCTCATACGCGAGACCAATCTACAATATTTAAAAAAATAATAATTAAAAAAATGACACCCCCAAGCATAGACGTGGCACGACGTCGAATTTTTTTTCGATTGGTCATCTCAACTAATTTTGATGTTCTGAGTTCATTGTGTGGTCAGATTTTATAAAATCAATGTTTAAAGTCGTGTTTGTGACATCAATAGATCTGTTCGAAAGTGGAAGTGGCAAAAAATTCATGCAAAATTTCTAGATTTTTGACCAAACTTCGAGATGTCATGACTTCTTCATATTTAAGCCAAAATTAATGATCTTTGTACCTTGGAAATGTCTCGAGAAGATCACCAAATGGAAAGTATGAAACGTAGTGTAGAAGAAGTTATCATGTGATGAAATTTTAGATTTTACCAATTTTCATGCAAAAAATTAAATTTTTATCCAAACTTTGGGATGCCATAACTTCTTCGTTTTAATGTCAAAATTAATTATCTTTATACCATTGGAAAGGTTTCAAGATCCATCCAACTAGTGTAGAAAAAGTTATCATGTAATGAAGTTTTGGATTTTACCAATTTTCATACAAAAATCAGTTTTCATCCAAACTTCAAGAGGCTAATCTATCCAACTACATCAAATGGGTAGCATGAAACTCAATGTACAAGAAGTTATCATGTGATAAAGTTTCGATTTTTATAACTAGGGTTCGATTTTTCTTCCCAAATACAAACCCGAATGATGTCAAATTCTGCTCTACATGATAACAAGAATATATAGTGTAAATTTCAAGAATTTATGTAAAGTACTTTCATAACTTGCCATTAAATGTGCTCAAGTTTTGAAGAAAAATGGCATACTTGCATTTTCATCGTATCAAACCATTTTCAATATATTATATGCAAGGAAAATAACCTTTAAGGCTTTGATATCAATGTAATTACTCGAAGCATACTTGAACATGAATTTCGGGTCAAGATACTTATTTGAAATGACGAATTTCAAGATCTTTTTGAATAGTTGAATCACCTTGCTTTTCAACTCCAAAATATGCATTTTCTTGTTCTTTAATAGTCTCAATCCTCATCACAGTTGAAGGAGATTATTATCCACAATCTAATTGACTAATTTTGTAAGTTTTAATGTCATATATATGATTCTAAGCACTTTTCAATTTATGTGTGTTTTTCCTACGAATTTCACACATTTTATTGCAATATTTTTTTTCCAATTTTTCTTAATATAATGAATTGAAGGTTACGTGGGAAGTTAAGGGAGGCTGTGGAGAGTTGAATGGTTGAATTCCATGTTCAAACCATTCCCTCCAAACTACTTTATTGTCTCGTATGTTGGGTCACCCAACATTGACGACCCATGACCCGTATTTTCTGACAAAAGTTCTTGCAATTTCATTTCTTCTCTTAAAACTTTGTTCATATTTTGTTAATCCGAATGTTCAAAATAGAAGTATTTCGAACGGTGACTTCTTTTCTTGTTGTTTGGCGGTTGTTTTCATTAGTGCATGACACAAATAATATAAATAGATTCC